ATACATCAACTGGGAACTGCCAGAAATTCAAGTCAGATTCAGAAGACCAGGTGGAACGAGGGATATCATTGCTGACATCAGATGGATCTTGGCTGAAAGCAGAGGATACAAAAAAGATGTTTGCCTGTTTTATTGACTGTGCAAAGGCATTTTACTGTGTGGATCATAACAAATTATGGATAACATTACCAAGAATGAGAGTTCCAGAACACTTAATTGTGCTCATGGGAAACCTGTACGGAAAACAAGAGGCAATAGTTTGAACAGAACAAGGGGATACTGCGTGGTTTAAGGACAGTAAAAGTGTGTATCACGGTTGTTTCCTTTCATCATACTTATTTAATTGGTATGCAGAGCAAATAATCTGAGAAACTGGACTATATGAAGAAGAACAGGGCATCAGGATTGGAGGAAGACCCATTAACAACCTGCGATTTGCAGATGACACAATCTTGCTAGCTGAAAGAGAAGAGGACTAGAAGCATCTCTTGATGAACATCAAAGACTACAGCCTTCTGCATGGATTAGGACTCAACATAAAAAAAATAAAAATCCTCACAACTAGGCCAATAAGCAACATCATGATAAACGGAGAAAAGATTGAAGTTGTCGAGGATTTCATTTCACTAGGATCCACGAACACCACCCATGGAAGCAGCAATCAAGAAATCAAAGGACTTATTGCATTGGGCAAATCTGTTGCAAACGACCTGTTTAAGTTTTTAAAAAATCAAAGATGTCACTTTACCGACAAATGTGCACCTGACCCAAGGCAAGGTGTTTTCGATTGCCTCATATTCATGTGAAAGCTGAACAATAAATAGGAAGTCTGAGGAAGAATTGATGCCTTTGAATTGTAGTGTTGGAGAATATTTAATACCATAGACTGCCAGAAGCATGAACAAATCTTTCTTAAAAGACATACAGCCAGAATGCTCCTTAGAAGAGAAGATGGCAAGACTGTGTCTCACACATTTTGGACATGTTATCAAGAGGGACCAGTCCCTGGAGAAAGACATCATGCTGTATACAGTAGAGGGTCAGTGAATAAGAGGAAGACCCTCAATGAGATGGATTGACACAGTGGCTGGAACAATGGGCAGAAGCATAACAACAATTGTGAAAAAGGCGCAGACCCCTACAGTGTTTCCTTCTCTTGTACATAATGACTCTAAAAGTGCGAACTGACTTGATATCACCTCACCAGAACAACACACCTGTGGTTATAGTACCGTTTGGGAATGATTTTTTGTTATGTTAATGAGGCAGTATTTGTGTAGTTGTTGTTGTTGTGAGGTGCCCTTAAGTCAGTTCCGACTCATAGCGAATCTACGTACAACAGAAAAAAACACAGTCCAGTCCTGCAACATCTTCACAATTGTTTTTATGCTTTAGCCTATTGTTGCAGCCACTGTGTCAGTCTGTCTCATCGAGAGTCTTCCTCTTCTTTGCTGACATGCTACTTTACCAAGCATGATGTCCTTCTCCAGGGACTGATCCCTCCTGATAACATGTCCAAAGTATGTGAGATGTAGTCTCCCATCCTTGCTTCTAAGGATCGTTCTTGTAGTACTTCTGCCAAGACAGACTTGTTTGTTCTTTTTTCAGTCCATGGAATATTCAATATTCTTTCCCAACACTATAATTCAAAGGTGTCAATTATTTCTGTTTTCCTTATTCATTGTCCAGCTTTCCCAGACGTATGAGGCAATTGAAAACGCCATGGATTGGTTCAGGTGCACCCTAGCACTCAAGGTGACATCTTTGCTTTTTAACAATTTAAAGAGTTCTTTTGCAGGCAGATTTGCCCAATGCAATGCATCTTTTGATTTCTCGACTGCTGCTTCCATGGGTGTTGATTCTGCATCCCAGTAAAATGAAATCCTAGACGACTTCAATCTTTTCTCCGTTTATCATGATGTTGCTTTTATTGGTCTAGTTGTGAGGGTTTTTGTTTTCATTATGTTTAGGTGTGATCCATACTGAAGGCTGTAGTCTTTGATGTTCATCAGCAAGTTCTTCAAGTCCTCTTCACTTTCCGCAAGCAAAGTTGTGTCATCTGCATATCATATTGTTAATGAGTCTTCCTCCAATCCTGATGCCCTATTCTACTTCATATTGTCCAGCTTCTTAGTTTATTTGCTCTGCATACAACTTGAATAAGTATGGTGAAAGGATACAATACTTGCCCACATGTTTCCTGACTTTAAGCCACGTAGTATCCCTTGATATGTTGGAATGTCTGCCTCTTGACCTATATACAGGTTCCTCGCGAGCACAATTCAGTGTTCTGGAACTCCCGTTCTTCCCAATAGTATCCATAATTTGTTATGGTCCACGTAGTCAAATGCCTTTGCATACTCAATAAAACACAGATAAACGCTTCCAGGTATTCTCTGCTTTCACACAGGATCCATCTGACATTAGCAATGATATCCTGATTTCCATGCCCTTTTCTGAATCTGGCTTTAACTTCTGGAAGTTACCTGTCGATATATTGCTGCAGCCACTTTTGAATGATCTTCAGGAAAATTTTACTTGTGTGTGATATTAATGATATTGTTCAATAATTTCTGCATTCAATTGGATCACCTTTCTTGGAAATAGGCATAAATACGGATCTCTGCCAGTTGGTTGGCCAGGTAGTGTCATTCAAATTTCTTGGCGCTTCTTGGGCTGCATCCATTTGTTGAAATATCTCAATTGGCATTCCATCAATTCCTGGAGCTTTGTTTTCTGACAATGTCTTCAGTGCAGCTTGGTCTTTTTCCGTCAGTACTATTGGTTCCTGATCATATGCTAGCTCCTGAAATGGTTGAACATCCACCAGTTCTTTTTGGTATAGTGACTGTGTATTCATTCCATCTTCTTTTGATGTTTTCTGCGTCACTTAATATTTTCCCCATAGAATCCTTCAATACTGCAACTCAAGGCTTGAATTTTTTCTTCAGTTCTTTCAGCTTGAGAAATGCCAAGTGTGTTCTTCCCTTTTGGTTTTCTAACTCCAGGTCTCTGCACATGTCATTATAATGCTTTACTTTGTCTTACTGAGCCACACTTTGAAATTTTCTGTTCAGCTCTATTATTTCATCATTTCTTCCTTTTGCTTTAGCTGCTCAACATTCAAGACCAATTTTCAGAGTCTCTTCTGACATGCATTTTGGTCTTTTCTTTCTTTCCTGTCTTTTTAATGTTCTCTTGCTTTCTTCCTGTATGATTCCTTGATGTCATTCCACAACTTGTCTGGTCTTTGGTCATTAGTGTTCAACCTATCAAATCTATTCTTGAGATGATCTCTAAATTCAGTGGCTCTCGTGGACTTGTTCTAATTTTTTTTTCAACTTCAGCTTGAGCTTGCATATGAGCAATTAACAGTCTGTTCCACAGTCAGCCCCTGGCCTTGTTCTGACTGATGATATTGAGCTTTTCCATTGTCCCTTTCCACAGATGTAGTCCATTTGATTTCCTGTGTATTCCATCTGGCGAGGTCCATGTATACAGTCTCTGTTTATGTTGGTAAAAAAAGGTATTTGCAATGAAGAAATAGTTGGTCTTGCAAAATTCTATCAAGTGATCTCCAGCATCGTTTCTATCACCAAGGCCATATTTTCCAACTACAGATTCTTCTTCTTTTGTTTCCAACTTTCGCATTCCAATCACCGGTAACTATCAATACATCCTGATTGCATGTTCGATCAATTTCAGACTATAGAAGCTGGTAAAAGACTTCAATTTCTTCACCTTTGTCCTTAGTGATTGGTGCCTAAATTTGAATAATAGTCATATTAACTGGTCTTCCTTGTAGGCATATGGATATTATCCTATTACTGACAGCATTGTACTTTATGATAGATCTTGAAATGTTCTTTTTGATGATGAATGCAACACCATTCTTCTTCAAGTTATCATTCCTGGCATAGTAGACCATATGATTGTCCAATTCAAAATGACCATTACCAGTCCATTTCAGCTCACTAGTGCCTAGGATATCGATCTTTATGTACTCTGTTTCATTTTTGAGGATTTCCAATTTTCAAGTTTGATTATTAATGGATGTTTGCAGCTGTCTCTTCTCATTTTGAGTTGTGACACGTCAGCAAATGAAAGTTCTGAAAGCTTGACTCCAGCCACGTCATTAAGGGAAACTCTACTTTGAGGAAGCAACTCTTCCCCAGTCATCTTGTGAGTGCCTTCCAACCAGAGAGGTTCATCTTCTGGCACTATATCAGACAACATTCTGAAGCAATTCATAAAGTTTTCACTGGCCAATTCTTTCCAGCAGTAGATGGCCAGGTTCTCCTTCCTAGTCTGTCTTAGTCTGGAAGCTCAGTTGAAATGTGTCCACCGTGGGTGACCCTGCTGGTATTTGAATACTGGTGGCATAGCTTCTAGCATCAAAGCAACACCCAAGAACCCACAGTAGGACAAACTGACAGTCGTGTGAGGGTGTAAGGTGTGTCTTAATTCAATTTCTTTTGAAATATAAAAAGAGAAAATTAAGAAATCAGAGACGGGTGAAGATAGATGCCATGCCACATGAAGATCACCAAGGAGCCAAGAAATAGAATCTGAAAAGAGAAAAGACCTTCCCTCAGAGCCAACAAAGAAAGCACGTTTGTCTAGAGATTTCACCCTAAATACAGACTTGTAGCCTCTTAAACTGTGGGAAAACAAATTTCTGTTTATTAAAGCCACCTGCTTGTGGTATTTCTGTTACAGCAGAACTACAGAACTAAGAGAGTAGATGATTAGTAAATTTATATCAATTTAACTTAATGAATGACTAAGTAATCTTCAAATTCTCTCAACATAATTTTTTAATTCTATGTGTACCTTCTTACTTACCAGCCATCTCAAGAGAACATTCATAATATCAAGCAAGGACCATTCTTGGACAGAAAGGTGGTGCATGAAGGAATGCTTTATTTAGATACTGTTTTCAGGAATGGCAGGAAGTGAGGTTACCTAGCAGGGGATGGATCATGGAGAAGTACAGGTGTCTAGTTGTCAGCGATGGTCTGCTGAATCCAGCTCACATAGTTGCAGACCTTGGTGTAGACTCCGGGTTTGCCTATCAGAGCACAGCCGTAGCCCCAGGAGACGATGCCCTGAAGCTCTCCGTTGCAGACCACAGGTCCACCAGAGTCACCCTGAGCAAAAACGAAGAGACACTCAGGACTCTCACCTGGGCCCAGATGGGAGAACGGCTCAGGACAGACCTCCCTTAGCCTGGGGCCATCTTCCCAGGCTGCCGTACTCAAGGAAGCACTTTCTCTTCTCCTAGAAATCCAACCCCCAGTCTCCATGCTCTATCTCTGTCCCTTTTCCTCCCCCACTCTAGCTCCTTTTCCTTCCACAGATGCAGTCTTGTAGAGCCAAGAAGAGTGAGGATGTGGAGATTTAATCTCACTCATCTATCCCTACTCCTTCCACAAGGGTTGCTTCCCACAATATACTCCTGCAAAATTCAACCTGGTGTACTGTTGGCCAGCCGTCTTCTTTGTATCTTTAGGGTTAATAGTTACCCTAACAAAAAAAACTATAATTCTCCCAAATCTATCCCTCAACCCTCGTTATAAGTCCCACAGTCTTATAATCCATCCTATAACTATCCTACAGCCCTCATAATCAATGCACCATGTTCCAGAAAAAGGGAAATATGATGAAACAGAGTGAGACTGAGCTGGGAGAAGAAGGAGGGCAGAGAAACAAACCTGGCAAGAGTCCTTGCCACCTGTCAGGAAGCCCACACATATCATGTTACTGGTGATCTGGCCTAGGTAGGCAAGGTGGCAGATCAAGTCAGAGAGGATGGGGGCATTCAAACACTGCAAGATGTCTGGGTAGTTTGCTGTTGGGGACAAAAGTGAAAATGGAAGGAGATTACCCCCATGATTCTTGAAATTTCCTTCCCAATATGTCCCCCCTCCACCACAAAACTCCTATTCTTTCTTTCAGATTGAAAGTGGCTTCTAGTTTAGGAGAACAAGGCTGTTGTGTAATATTCTAATCAGCAAGCTTGTCTCTGTCTCTGATGAAAGCCTCAGTGAGCACAGACCTCAAGTCTAGAAGCTTTATTCTCAAACATGTCTACACTGCAGGCAGTACCAAATCCCATAGCTTTGGTTTTGTTTACCTCCCCAGTGCCTAGTTCTCTCAGCATCACTAACTACCCTTCAGTTGAATACCTTGGCATCTTTGTCATGGTTCATTTTTGCTGTGTCTTCTGCATGGTCCCAGCAAAGAGAGCTTCCTCATTTCCATTATTATATTCTAAGACCCCATATGTCCCATAACTGTCTTCTGGCAGCCTTCTGCTGAGTGGCTGTTTGGACTTAGGGACCATCAGTCAGCCTGCCACAGCTAGGAGTCTCAGACTGAATCTTTTAGTTCCAGGGGCACTTACAGCCATTGCTTTCAGTGTTGCCCCAGCCGGAGATGAGGCACTGGGTTCGGGCAGTGGCACAGTACGTTGGTAGAGAGACTGGGGACACCCAAGAGTTGATTGTAGCGGGGGAGCTCAGTTTAATCATCATGATGTCATTATCGAAGGTGGCTGAATTGTAGTCGGGGTGGGGGATGACTTTGGTGGAGTTAATGAACTGCTCAGTGCCCTCAAAGACCTTAATGTTGTGTTCTCCCAGACGCACCTGGATTTCACTGGGTTAAAAGATTAAGTTTCCTAAGTATCCTACTTGAGGTCCCCCCACCTCCCAATCACCTCCATCATGAGCAGAAGCACAGACAGCAGCCCCTTTGAGCTTTCACTTGCATAGGTGATTGTGCACTCAAGGTAGACCTGTGGGACACAGTGAGTTGAGACTAGTCCCTAGGTAAGTGTCAACACAAGCACAAACTCACAGCCTCCATCTTGTTAGACTTGACGGGTATAGGAAGAGGATACAAATGACCCAGATAAAAAAGTAGGAGAAGAAAGGGCATTGGTTGTTGATCAGCATCGTTTTTCCTCCTCTGTCGGGTTACTGATTATTGTTAGGAGACAAGGCAGGAGTCAGAAGTGAGACGAAATATTAAGGGAAGAGAATTAGTCACGCTTATTTTTAATGTTATACTGGAAATTTCATGTACTTTATTTCCTGAACATGTCATATTTTTGTCTGAGCTATAAAGACTGGGACTACTTCCTGCTTCATGTTCCCAAGCTCTTTCTGGAAATACTTCCCCACCAACCACTCCCCCTCCACGCACCCCTAGGTCATTACTCCAGTCATTTGGGAGGACATCAAGGGAACCCTAAAGGCAGCTCTCCACGGGGAAGACCCTCCCCAACCATACAACACCTAGGGGAACAGAGGGAGCTCTTAGAAGCTGGATGCTTCACCCCGCAAGCCTGGCTGTGTAGGATTCCCTGGCTTTAGCAAAGCAGGGGATGCACAGATCTTCACACACAGGGACAAGGTATTGGCACTTACGACATGTAGCAGTGAGCTGCGGACACCACCCACTGGTCACTGATGAGGGCGCCGCCACAGAAGTGATAGCCAGAGTTCAGGGACACCTGGTAGGGGAGGGAATTCTTCGTACAGTTGTAGCCCCCAACGATCCTCTCATCATCATCAGTGGTGAAAGCAACTGACAGAGAAAGTTGGGAACGATCCGTTAGGAAGATCCTTCCTGGAATTTCTACTCCACCGTGAAGTTCTTGTAGAGTAGTAAGAAAAAAGATTTGAATGTTCTCTTGTCCCACATAACCAAGAAATGGTGGTTTTCATATAATTTGTCTGAAAGTCTTATTATTCCATATCTTTAACACGCACCCTACTTGAACCATTACGATAAAACCGAAAACCCTTTGCTGACTAATCAATTCTGACTCATAGTGACCCTTTAGGACAGAGTAGAACTGCTCCACAGAGTTTCCAAGGAGCAGCTGGTGGATTCAAACTGCCAACCTTTTGGTTTAGCAGCTAAACGCTTAACCACTGCTCCACCAGGGACCCACCATTATGATATAAGAATTTTATTTTCAAATTTTGCTTTAAATTTGGTAAATAGGTTGATATTTACATATGTACCATACACACAAACACACACACACAAGGATCAGAGACCCCTTACACCACTACCTGAAGGTATAGAGAACACTTTTTTCACAGAGCCCTGCTCAGCAGTCCTGCAAAGAGGTCTTCAATAAAGCTTTGCATTATAATGGGCTGTTTGTTTTTGGTGGTTGGTATATGATCTCCCCGTGAGATAAGGATAAGGAGGAGCTTAGACGCTACCTGAGAAAGTTTGACCCGGACAGAAAATGGAGTTTTGTACTTCTGTTCCCCAAATTTCTTGTTTTTGGCATAAAGGTTTCACAAACTCATTTTACAAAACATTATCAGGTCTCTCTCCACAGTCTTTCCTTCTATTCCAATTATCTTTACAACATTCTTCAATTAATTTAGCATTGTGAAGATTGGCACTTTAATTCATCAAAACTTTCTGCAACTCTAGAAGTCTGTGATTATTTTTATGAGCTCTACTAACCAAGTATTTTAAAATAACTTTAAGGAAGAAGTTCCCAGGTATCTAGACAGATGTACTGGAATTACGCCTACCTAAATTGGGAAAATTTAGTATTCCGTTTTCATAGTATAAAATTTAGCAATCTAAAATAGAAAAATCCATTTCTCTATTTTTTTTTCATGATTGAAAAACGTATTATTTTACACCAGGGAGAATTCACTGGCAATGATGTTATAAACACAAGCCATGGCTTTTATTCATGAGAAATAAAATGTCTCTGCCTCCTAAGATCCCTTCTATCAAGTCCTTTCAGAGAGACCTGGGCTTTGACACTAATAGACACTTCAAGGAGCACAAGATTAGTCCCCTTTACTGATGCAAATGGTTGAGCACTAGACTACTAACTGAAAGGTTAGCAGTTCAATTCCACCTAGAGGCACCTGGTGATCTACTTCCAAAAAATCAGCCACTGAAAACCCTATGGAGCACATCTACTCTGACACACACCGGTACACCATGATCAGACTTGACTCAACAGCAAATATACAAGTGTATATATATGTGTGTATATATATATATATATACACATTTTTTTTTACTAACACCCGATTGTAAGAATTGTCAAGGCAGACACTTCCTTGATGTGGACTACCATTCCTTGCCTCTTCATAGTTGTACCTGTCCTTTGAAGTTCAAAGCAAGTCATGCCTCTTTATGCTTCCTCCCTGGTCACCCCTGCTCACTGAGACCTTCCTGACCTGCAGCGCTTGTACCCAGCTAGTGAGATTTAAGTACCTATAACCTTATGTATTGTACAGTGCTGTTCCAACATGCTAGGCTTCTTGTCTACAGTAACTATGTTTAATACTCATTGTCGTCTTCCAGAGCACAAAGTTAAACATGTGATAGACACCTGTGATAGACACCTACTGATTCATTGCAAGAGACTCACCAGCAGCTCCCAATAGAGTGAGGAAGATGAACACCTTCATGGTTGCTCACTAGATCCAGGCTGGGGAATAGGATGAAGGGGTCTCCTCCAAAGCTATATATACTTCCAGACTGGTTATTAGCAACCATAGTCACGGGTCCTGGAAATGTGATATCACTGAAAACTCAAAAATCCAAATTTAGAATTCAAATCTTTGTCAGGTGGAGAATAATTCAGCATCACAGATAATCATCTGCCCTTGTCCACTTTTACAGAGTGTTATGGGAAAGGAAGTAATGAGCCCACCTGTTGGGAACTGTTCCCAACAAGTGAAAAGTAAGTTGGAGTAAGGCCATAGGACACAGTTACAGGTGTCATGATTCCCAAACAAAAGTCTTAAGTACTTGGTTCTCCTGGCTGTGAATGTCCATCTGAAGCACTGTCTCTATCCTTGCACTCTTGATGTATAATTAGTACTGGTTCTTTGACTATTTTAATACTTAGTCTTGTGGTAATTCAGGTCTTGTGTATCCATGTGAACTTGTCATTATCTATAGGAACAACTTGTTCCCCTGAGAAAAAGAAAAATTTTCTGATTGGAAAGCAAAATAGATCAAAAGTGGAGAGTAAAAAATTATAATATCCATTGCTGTCAAGTAGATTCCAACTCATAGTGACCCTATAGGACACAGTAGAACTGCCCCATAGGGTTTCTAAGGAGTAGCTGGTGGATTCCAACTGCCGACCTTTTGGTTAGTAACCAAGCTTTTAACCACTTTAGCACCAGGGCTCCAAAAATTACAATAACTTGCATTTTCTAGAGCTTACTAAGTGTCAGGGATGTTCTAAGTCCTTTGCCTGTAATACTTATTAATCCTCCTAATGACCATACAAGCCAGTTGCCATTGAGTCAGCTCCAGCTTAAGGCAACCCCATGTGTGTCAGAGTAGAACTGTGCTCCACAGGGTTTTTGATGGCTGATTTTTAGAAATAGATTGCTAAGACTTTCTTCCAAGATGCCTGTTGGTAGATTTGAAACACCAGCCTTTAAGTTAGTAGCCAATTACTTAACCATTAACGGGACCAAAGACTCCAACAACCCTACAAAATATCTAATATTATCCTCATTTTACAGATGATAAAACTGAGCACAGAGAAGCATAAAGGACTTAGCCAAAATCACACAGTAAGTATGGTCAGGACTCAAACTCAGGAAATTTGGTTTTAAGTCTGTGCTCCTATTCCTATGCAACATTGCCCTAGTCAGTCCACCAACATCTGGTGACCAAAGTCATATGGAATTCTTGAATAAAGATGATAATATGTGAATTGTATAGTGTGTTTTCTATGTCAGGCAATGTGCTAAGTGGTTTACATGTATCACCTCATTCCATCCTCACAACAACCTTGTTAGCACTGTGCCTTTATTCTCACCATTTTAGGGATGGAGAAGGTGAGGCTTAGAGAAGCTGAGAGTTTTGCTCACAGTTTCATAGCTTGTTGAAAAGTACTGTTTCCTCAGGGGTGGGGAAATTCCATAGATTACTTTGAATAAAAGTAGAAAGTGATTAAAATGAGCTCTTCAGAATAAATGAATATCCACAAGGCTAAAGACTTATGGGAAACCCTGGTGGGGTAGTGGTTAAGAGCTATGGCTACTAACCAACAGCTCAGCAGTTCGAATCCACCAGCCTCTGCTTGGAAACTCTATGGGACAGTTCTACTCTGTCCTTTAGGGTCGCTATGGGTTGGTATCGACTTGACTGCCATTGGTTAAAGACTTTTGAGTACGTATCCTATGATCGTTAAAGTTACGTGTCAACTTGGCTAGGCCATGATTCTCAGTGGTTTAGCAGATATTATGTAATCATTCTCCAGTTGTGATCTTATGTGAGCAGGCAATCAGCTGAAAAGGGAATTTCCTTGGGGGTGTGGCCGGCATTCAATATATAAGGATGTTCTGGCAAAGCTTGCCCTTTCTTGATCCTGCATCTGACTCATAATTCTCTGACTTCTGGTTCTTGGGACATGAACCAGTAGCCTGCAGCTTGACTGCCCATTTTGCATCAACCCCTGCAAGGACTTGAGTCAGAAGAAGCCCCCAGCCTGACTCCTGACCCATAGATTTGGGACTTGCCAGCCTCCACAACTGCATGAGCAATATCCTTGAAATAAATCTCTCTCTAAACATGTTTATTTATGTATATATTATGTATATACACTTCACTAGTTTTGTTCCTCTAGAGAACACAGCCTAAGCCATATCCCTACAATGACACTGACATTCTTTGTTGACTTTTAAAAGTAAGACTAAAATAATACTAAAATTGTAAATGTCTTCATTTCTAAGGACTTTTAAAAGGTGACTTCAGTACTAGAGTTACCTGCAACTGAATGCCTCCTAAGCGATATGATTGAATTTATACATCTTTTTGTACTTACATGCATATTTTTGTGGAATAAATTTCTAGAGGTTTAGTTGTTGAGTCAGAGTCTACAGAATTTCCATTTTAAAAGAAATTCTGAAATTGTGAACAGTTGGTCTTTAAACAAAGTAAGAGACAGAAAATGACAAATGTACTCGAAAGGTATTGTTGGAGAACATTAAGAACACAGGATTTGTTTGCCCTTTTCTCACTTTTCTTTTTCTCGTCTTTTATAGATCTTATTTACCTTGTCAGGTCTCTGAGTCTTCCCATTATCTGTAGTGGCAAGATGAGTACAAGTGTATATTGGTGGTAGTGATGGTTGTTGTTGTTGTTGTTAGGTGCTGTCGAGTCAATTTTGACTCATAGCAACCCTGTGTACAACAGAATGAAACACTACCCCATCCTGCTCCTTCCTCACAATTGTAGTTATGCATAAGCCAATTGTTGCAGCTCCTCTGTCAATCCATCTCATTGAGGGTCTTCCTCTTTTTGGCTGACCAAGCATGATGTCCTTCTCCAGAGGCTGATCTCTTCTGATATCATGTCGAAAGTATGTGAGATGTAGTCTCGCCATCCTTGCTTCTAAGGATCATTCTGGTTGTACTTCTGCCAAGACAGACTTGTTTGTTCTTTTGGCAGTCCATGGTATATTCAAAACTCTTCACTAACACCACATTTCAAAAGTGTTAATTCTTCTTCAGTCTTCCTTATTTATTGTCCAGCTTTGGCATGCATATGAGCCGATTGAAAACATCATGGCTTGGGTCAGGCGTACTTCAGTCTTCAAGGTAGTATCTTTGCTTTTTAACATTTTAAAGACGTCTTTTGCAACAGATTTTTGGAGAGCAATGCATTGTTTTATTTCTTGACTACTGCTTCTATGGGTGTTGATTGTGGATCCAAGTAAAATTAAATCTTTGAAAACTTCAATCTTTTCTCTGTTTATCATGAGGTTCCCCCATGCTTCTGTCAGTTTGTCATACTGTGAGGGCTTGGGTGTTGCTGTGATGCTGGAAGCTATGCTACCAGTATCAAAATAACAGTAGGGTCAATCATGGTGGGCTGGTTTCAGCTGAGCTTCCAGACTAAGACAGACTAGGAAGAAGACCTGGATGTCTACTTCTGAAAAGAATTATCCAGTGAAAACTTTATGAACAGAAGTGGAACAAAGTCTGATATAGTGCCAGAAGATGAGATCATCAGGTTGGAAGACACTCAGAAGATGCCTGGGGAAGGGATGCCTCCTCAGAGTAGCTCATTGACCCATTGCTATTGAGCTTGTTTTCACTCATAGCCACACTATAGGACAGAGTAGAACTGCCTGATAGGGTTTCCAAGGAGTGACTGTTGGATATGAACTGCAGACTTTTAGGTTAGCAGCCGTAGCTCTTAACCACTGTGCCTCCAGAGCTCCCCTCAAAGTAGAGTAGACCTTAATGACCTGAATGGAGTCAAGCTTTTGGAACCTTAATTTGTTGATGTGACATGACTGAAAATGAGAAGAAACAGCTGAAAATATCCATTAATAATCAGAACCTGGAAGGTACCAAGTATGAATCTAAGAAAATTGGAAATCATCAAAAATGAAATGGCATGCACAGACACAGATATCCTAGGCATCACTGAACTGAAGTGGACTGGTATTGGCCATTTTGAATCAGCCAATCATATGGTCCACTACACCAGAAATGACAACTTGAAGAGGAAGGACGTTGTATTAATCATCAGAAAGAATATTTTGGACTTCTGGGCAACATGGCGCTATAGACAGAAGCACCATGCCATCCCTCCACATCAAAGATCTGAAAAACTAAGTCAAACAGAGACGAAAGTCAATCCTGAAACCCTAAGCATCAAATGAAGAGATAAAGAACTCAGCCAAGCACTGAATGGAATAAGAAACTGACAGAGAACAGAGAGTAAGGAGAGATACATGCAGAGGTCCCCTATAAGCTAATGCAGCATGGATCCTACATCCTGGACTCCTATCAGAGATCAGCAAACAGGGGGTATGAGAAAGCAGCTTCACGGAGCTTCCAGCAGGAGACAAAACAACTGGTAACCAGCCATATACGCTTTCCCACCCCTCACCTTTATTCACCCCCACATGGTCTTCTCCACCTCCCGCTGACACAGTCTCTTGTCTGGAAAGCACTGGTTTCACTCCGGTGCCGCTTGGATTCCACCTACCTGCACTGGCCAGCTCCCTGAGTGCTATTTGTTGGCTGCTGGTTTGCTTTTTTCTGATTCTTTTCTGATTCCTTACCTCTCACCACCTCCCCCTCCTTTCTCTTAAACACCTGGCTCTGTGTGCCGCCTTTGCTTCTTCCTGAAAGGCTGTGAAACACCACTTGACTGTGAAACTTCTTCTCGGCCCATGCAGCCACGCTGGTGGGATTCCTGGGGCTTTTTGTTTGTTTGTTTTTTCTGACTTGTCCTGTTTTGACTTGTTTGTATGTTTCCTTTTTCTTTTCTTGGCTTGGGAGCCCCTTCTAGCCTGGCAATACTGCACAGCTTGGGAGCTACTCCCTTACTCTGCACAGACACACAGTGGGATCCCTGAGACATTTCTTTTTCTTATTTTTTTGTTTCTTTGTTTTGTTTTCTTCTCTCTCTTTTTCCCTTTTTGTCT